GACAGTGGTAGAGAGCCATTCTGTCAACTGAACATATGGTTGAGATATTACTTAAAATCTTTTCTTTCTAGTCTTGAAATTAGGTAGTTTAAAAATTGTTACTTTTCATTTTCTTTATTACTCTGTGCAGTTTATTTCTTACGTGTGGGGGGAGGCAATTCATTCATTCATGTAACTGACATTTTCTGGTCCCTGTTATGTACCAGGTACAGAGCTGTGTGCTGAGGATTACAGAAATATTCATACACTATTATTACCTATTTAAGCATATATTATTATCAAGGTGACTAGGACTGGTTAGTAGTTTGAAACTTTACCTAAAAAAAAATTGTGCCATAAGAAACAATAGGATTTATTAATGTTTTTCCTTCCTATAGCTGCTAATAATGACTTACACATTGTAGGCACCTGATAAAATTTTATTGGCTATAAATTAGCAAAGATCTGATACATACATAAGTGTGTGTGTATGTGTATAATTTTGTGTTTGTGTGGTGGGATGTATGCTGTTAACTTTAGCCACATAGTGCATGATTCTGTTAAATTCAGGAGCATTACTTTCAGAAAGTTGAATTGTTTCTAATTGTAGTTCAAATGGAAATATATGAGATAGCACTGCTATTTCTAGAATGTACATGTTCACAAGTTAAGGTGCTGAATGTAAACGTGATAGGAAAGAAGACTAAAATGAATTGCTTTGCTTGTGTTCATAAATTTTCTTTGCATAAATAATACAACATTTATAGAATACTTCAGGCTAAATTCTGATTCTTCAGCTTCAAACATACACATCAGTGCTACTCAATTTTTATGGAAACTACAAGTGTTAATGATTAAACCATATTTGATTGCTGTAGGGCGTCAGGAATCAATGTTTACATAAATCTGACTAAAAGTTCAAGGCCTAGGAGGCACAAGGTAGAGGAATTTTGTGTTGTTCTGAATTATCCCGGGAATAGTGTTCTCTGGGAAATCCCAGTGAGCTATAAGTAAGGGCCATTTTTTCTAAAGACTGACATTTTGCAGTATGGCATATAGTATGTGTTGTGTTAAAAATTACAGGGTCATTGTTTTGAAAATCATAGACCTCTTTCAACATCTGGTTTTTAGGCTGCTTAAGTGTGGGCCAGAAAGAAGGCTGGTCATTGTAGGGTGTTTGAAATGAGCTATAATGATTTCCAGGCCCAGAGAAACCTTTGTGCTGCAGCTGCTATCAGGGAAGGCGATGGAAGGACGGGTCTTCATACGTTCTGTGTATCAGGCCGAATCTTTTATCACCTCTCTAGTATGGTTATCATCATATGGCTGTCTTCAGAATCTTAAAGGCCTCACAGCTAACAGAATTGGTGTTAGGGTGAGAGGGAAAAGAGGGTTACAAATGACAAATTGAGATAATAAAATAACCTTAGTTATTTTTATGTAAATCCATTTTGTAAATCCATTACAAAGAGGGCCTCGGTTTTTTTTGTTTTTTGTTTTTTTTTTAAAGGATACTATTCACGGTAATACTCATTTGTCATGGTAATTCTACTTCAGAAATGTTATTACAGAGTCAGTCACCTTTACAAAAAGGTTCTTCTAAAAAAAATTTAGCATTCAGTTGACTGAAGATGGGTGCGTATTAGCTAGCTGCCACTTACTGAGGGCCTACTGCTGTGCTAAGCACCTTATAAATGTTACTGCCAGTTCTCCTACAGTCTTGAAAATGATTGTTGCCAGTTTTACAGATGAGAAAGCTGAGGTTCAGAAAGGTTAAATAATTTACCCCAGGTCACACATTTAGTCACTAGCAGAATCAGGATGTGATACCTGGTCTACTCTGCACTGCCTGTCCTAACATTGCATTTCAGGTGACATGCTTCCAATGTCCAAATGCAAAAGTACATATTTATGGTTAGAAAAATGTGTATACACACAGGTATACATACACACATGTATATATACACATAGGTATACTTCAAGTAAAATTTGTAGAATGTATAATGTATTTTAGGCAATAAGAACTTGGTCCGCAAATAGGAGTTGTTAGGTGTAGCACTACTGAATCATTACTTTTGGTAGGAGACCATAATTAAGTTTTTTCTTTTATATGGCTTATACTTTCACCTGGTTCTGTGTCCTGTTACTTTTACTCATATGCCTTAACAGCTTGATGCGTCATGCACATTACTGACTTAATTTGTATTAGACATTTCTAGAAACCAAAGCTCTTTCGTACATAGTGCTCTAAAAGATATTTTTATTCTAAGGGAGTTACTGATAATAGGTTGCAGACAGTGTTGACTTCTGTGCTGAACCAAAAAAAAAAAGAAAACTTGAAGGATTGAGAGAATGATGGAGAGAAGAATATAAGTGAAGAGGCACAAAATGAGGACAAGTCTAGGGAGGTTAAAAAAACAAACTACTAACTCTAGTCATCAGTCCCAGTTTCACCAGTTCATTCTATCCACAATCAGGAAACGGAGGTGTAGCCTAGGTGTGTGCACTTGCTGCTATCAGCCATGTGAATGCCCCCATCCCCAGCCCCCCCCCACACACACACACCTACCTATAATATTAATTGGGATGTCAGACTGTACGTATGTCCACAGGTAGTGTTTGGCCTGCGTTTTGTGTGGATATTGTAGAAGTTGGTTTGATGTCCCTCTGTTCATGTTTATACCTCTTCCTTGAATGTGCAATGTACTTTTTATGTGATTGAAAAACTTAAGCACCTTCATCTACTTTCCACTATATAGCCATTGTGAACTAAATATTTTTATTTATAAAATCTTGGGCACACAAAGATTCTAAAAGAATTTTGTTTGGAAAGCTAAGATATACAAACATGCTTTTAATTTTAAAAGGAACAAAAGGAAATGAAGCTAGTTAAAATTTAAATCTGTTACAGCTCCCAATTCTTGAAGGAAAAATTGTTATATAAAATTTCTGCTCAGTAACAACTGTGAAAGCACAAAACAAAATTGGACCTTTAACGTGTAATCGTTGTTTTATATTAGATGCAGTACTAATTTGGGAATGCCATTGTTTTCCTCTCAATTCAACAAAATTATTTTGCACCTATTCTGTTTAAGATGCTAACAAATGGAGGCCTCTGGTTTGGACTCAGATCACATCTCTTGTGGTTTGAAGTCATTAGAATTAACAGTCCAGTTGTCATGAGAAGGTTTTATTCCAATTTCAGTGATGAAGAACGATACAGATACAGGGAGTATGCAGAAAGGGGCTATGAGCGCCACAGAGCAAGTCGAGAGAAAGAAGAACGACACAGAGAAAGACGACACAGAGAGAAAGAGGAAACCAGACACAAGTCATCTCGAAGGTTTGTGCTTTTATAGTGAATCCCTTTGAAGCAGAGAGAAACTGCTTTGACCTCAGAAAGTAAAAACATTTCCAAATAATTAGCATAGCATATGTGTTCCTAATTGGAAGATTAAGAAGAATGTGTTGAAACAGTTCGTTCCTTATAGGCTCAACAAAGATTTTTTTAAATCTAACAAGACTGCATTTAGTACTCAGACTTACTACATTGTCTTGTTGGGAGAGGGGTTTATTTAGCATATGAACCAGTAATATTTAATCAAAGAAAATTCAGGGCCACATAGGCAAACAATAGGCATACAATTTATTTGACTAAAATCAACCCTAGAAAGTACTTTCTGTTCTGATTTAGTGCTTTAGTTTCTAATTTATGGTAGTTTTTCAGAATAAAGTCTATGGGCTCTGAGAAGCTAGGATAGTATCAGTGAAGGTGAGCCTGTAATATAAATACCACCTCCTTATGAAAGTCACATAAAAAACTGGTTACTCCTCACAGTGTGTTTGAGAAAAAGAATGGGTTACTTCACACCCAGTGTTATATTGACAGCTCACCTGGACACAGTGGGTTGATTTTTGTCACTATGTGTATACTTAAACATTAAGAACAAACCTTTTTTTTCTTCAGTAATAGTAGACGTCGCCATGAAAGTGAAGAAGGAGACAGTCACAGGAGACACAAGCACAAAAAATCTAAGAGAAGCAAAGAAGGAAAAGAAGCTGGCAGTGAGCCTGCCCCTGAACAGGAGAGCACCGAAGCTGCACCTGCGGAATAGGCATGGCTATGGCCTTTGGGGTATGTTAGGGCCAGAAGTGTACCATAAATCTTGTTATTTTTCTGGATAATGTTTAAGAAATTTACCTTTAATCTTGTTCTGTTTAGTATGAAAAGTTAACTTTTTTCTCAAAATAAAAGAGTGAATTTTTCATGTTAAGTTAAAAATCTTTGTCTTGTAATATTTAAAAAAATAAAGACAGCAATGACTTTATATCCAAGAAAGTAATGTGAATGAGTCACTCAGCAGGGAATTTTAAAGAGCTATGTACATACCCAGTGTCTCATAAAGGTCAAGGTTCCAGCTTGGCCATAGTTTTCTTGATAACGTTAATTAAATAATACCACTCTCAAGAGGTTGCACTGCAAAAGGCATCTCTGAGTCTTGACATGAAAAGTAGTCTTTTGTCAATACTGCTGTGGCACTCTTGCTTAGCGTATTGAAGAACTCGTATACAGTTTTGATACCACAACTTTTTGATAGGTTTTCAGCATTCTCAATTTGGGTTAACTAAATAGGTAACTTTTGTATCCTAAAAATTAGTAAAGGCATTTGGCTGGAGTCTGTGAAATAACTTGCCCTGAGGGTAGTTTCTATGGCAGGCATACGGACAAACCCTCGTCACTGTGACAGATTTGAATTGCCTCATGGCCTTCTATGAGCCGGGGTCAAGCTGGTTTGGCCTTTCTTGATGCTTTTTCCAAAGCTCATTGTTTGAGCAGCATGTGTTTTGATAGAGTTACTAGCTTGTGACTGAAAAGACAAGAGCTTTAGATTAGTCATTTCCTATTAAATCTATGAATACAGGTTTATAATTCTGTGAGCATTTTTAGGGATAAGCCTTAGGATGTATTTGTCGGTGATGGTAACAACATGGTTTTGAAAGAATTACTAGGATTCTTTAAATAGTGATAATAGAAATGAATTTAATATCACATACTAAAAGACAACTATAATTTGAAAAATATTTCTCATTTAATGAACATTTTTCAGCAGTGCACTTTCTCTGGCTGTAAATTGTTTTTTTAAATGCCCATAATACACCCTTTACAGACCTCAGCATATACCAAATTTTTAATTGAAGGATTTGAAGTCAGTGGGGGCATACAAATGATCTCAGCCGTTTAAGAGCTTTTTAGTGAATAGAAAAATATAAACTTAAAGTTGTGGAGTAAGGAGAAATCCTCCGCCCTGAATAAGAACTATTAATAGGATTTATGTTTTGAGAATTACATTTTCTGAGGTGTAACTGGCTTTCATTAGATCATACTTTTCCTGACAGTTTACATTTTTACAGTGTATCCTTTAAATAAAAAAAATTGACAAGATAAATACATTGTTTCAGCATAGCTTATCTGTAGTTTTCTGTTTTCCTATGACCCATCATTGATTCTATAAAAAAGTGCCAGGCCAAGAAACAATAGTAAGAGTAATCTTTCCTTTAAGTTCTTTCAGCATCTTTGCCAAGCAAGCATGTATCATTCCTGATGTACTTCTACCATTGACAGCCAGAAGAATATCACCACATCTAAAAAACATAAAACACATGATTAGCATTTTGATCCAGAGCTGGAGTCAATGCAAGTGTATTTGGTGGTCCTAGTTTTTGCTCCATCTGTCAATTTTAATTACATAAAATTCTAATTAAGAATACCTAATTAAGGCTTTCTCCCCCCTCCCTCATTTAAATCCTGCAAACTCTTCAGCTTCTGTTAGAAGGGACGCTAAAAGCATAGGAAGTTGCTGTAAGGGACCAAGGAATTCTTAGAAATTGAATGCTATGTAGATGTTTTTCTTACCAATAAAACAAGGTATATAGTACATGCGTTATTTCTAATGGGGCCAAGCTTTTGCATATATAAAACAAAATATTGGTAATTAGTCATTATTACCTAATTCTTCCATCATTATACGCTGGTGTTCCTTCAACAATGGACTTAATAAAAAAAGGTTTGTTCCCATTATATTCTTCATAACCTCCTACGATGCAGAAGCCCAGACTTCCAGCTGTGTTTCTTCGTAATACAACATCTTTACGGTTATACAGGTACCTGAAATAGAATGTGTAAGTAGTATACCTGCACAGTTGGGCTGAACTCTTAGTGAATAATTACTATGATTCCTCTCCCATTCCCTTTATTGACATTTGTTTCAGGCTAAATAGCATTGGATGGGTTTCACTCAGAATTGTCAAAGCCCAGTGACATTCATGCTATTAGTGGGCTTTTTCTAGTTGAATTGTTTTCCATTGCTATACGCCCTTTAAAAAATACTATTATGTTGTGTTTATATTAAACAAATTGGATAGGCCTAAATCCTTACTGATGAACCAAATTCAAGCAATACCATTTTTATTTAGTTGTGAATATAATTTTAACGAAGGCAAAAATCCTTTAAATGATTCTCCGTGAAAAAAACTTAACCCTAATAATGAATGCAGTTGCCACAGTTCTGACTTTTGAAAAATACCGTTTTAAATGTGGTTCTACATGTTTGGTAGGTTATAGAGAAGCATGCAGGCATAAAGTGAATGGAAACTGAGGTACATTTAAAGGTTTAAGAATGATTCATAATCGAAAAAAAAAACCAGTAAACTGAATAGGAAGTTACAGAATGGGAGAATGAGAGGCCACAGGTCTTCTGTGAGTAGAATCCTCACCTAAAATAGATTAGATGGAAGAAACTCAATATTCAGTGGCCCCTGGATCAGTTAACGTAGGTGCAGGCCAAGTGTAAACTGTGTTAGAGTTGTGACAGGTAGTGTTGTCAGGAACTGGATTTGACTAAAATCCCCCAGTTGAGGAACTGGTTTGAAAGAAAATTAGCATTTTCATATTGGTAAAAATCAAAATATGATTGTTTTGTTTATGAGCTGTACCTTAAAATACTAACTGCTTTTTGAAAAACCAATAAAATGTCTCTTGTGAAAGGTTTTGTTAAGTGATGAAGTTGGTCATTAACATTTGTTACCAAACTTGCTAATCAGTGTAATGTTTCATAGTGTTGCTGATTCCAACTTGAAATAAGCTTTGGCTTTGTTTGGGGGATAATGTTAGAGTGTAGGGGTAAAATTCAGTTCAACTTTGTTTTATATCTGTTGTCACACATAATTTACAATTATCAATTTCACTGATAGCTGAAGAATGATTTTCATTAAATAAAACAACTGTTTTGATTGTAAAATATTCACCAGCTGTATTTCACAGACTTGATGTCAATAGTAAGTTCCTCCTGTAGGAGCTGTGGTATGTCAGCACATTTACATAATGGCTCACCCACTGCTCGTATACAAAGCAGGTAATTGGCAGTTCTCCAAATACCAGAGCATTACATTCCTTCCTGTGCCCAATACTTGAAGAATTGGGTGATTCTTACCCCAGGTCATGAGCAAATAGCTACCTTAACACTTCCCAGCCATGATTCCTTAAAACATATAAACGGGTACATAGAACAATACTTGAAACAAGTACTTCTTACTCCTTTGACCACTGGGTTTTTTTCATTAAGTATCACCTTGGACCTTATATTGATTCTTAGTATTTTATTTCATGTGGACAAACTATAAACCTCAGTATCTAAAATTTATGTTCTAGTATAAAATTTTCAACCTAACATTAAGTCACAAATTGTGTCTATTTTCCTCGACTCTTGTTTTGATATTGGAGAGAAAGTATCTGTCTGCTTGGATCATCTTTCAGCAGACATTTATTGAGTGCACCCTACTCAGAACAGACAAAAATCCTGCCCTCCGTGCCATGCATTCAAGTGGCTGGCAGTGTTACTAGTATTTTTTTTCACTCAGTACTTTTCCTTCGTGTGGAGTATTTCAACTTCATTGCAGCAACAAGAATGCAGTATGTTAAACCCTTTCAAAGTCAGGCCTTGGTTAGTTGGAACGGATGAGTACTGGGCATTTGTTTCTCACGTTGAATTACTTCACTCCCCATTGGGAAATGTGGAACCTGGCTTTGATCGATGATGTTCAGGATTTACCGTTGAAATATTAAGTGACTTTAAATTCTAAGTGTGAGCTTTTTTCCTATTCTGAACTCATTCTCTAAATTTAGGCCTCATTGAAGAAGAGTTGGCATAGTTTAAAGAATAGCAAGGAGTTTAGTAATTTTCTCCCAATGAGAAAATTATGGTTACTTCAAAAATCAACTCCACATTAGGGACTACAATGAAGTCCTGGGTTGCTCAAGAAGCTGTATATTTTTCTGTTTCACTGGCTGTTCCTTCTCAGTTTCCTTTAAGTTTCCCCTTTTCTCAGAGGACCTCAAAATTTGACTGAGCCTCTATACTACCAAAGTATGGTTCTCAAAGTATGTGCCTTTCAGGGAGTCTAGAGGTAAAAAAAATACTTTTATCAGAATAGTGAGATATTTGCCTTTAAAAAAAAAATCATTTTCTAATAAGCATTTAAGCTCAGAAGACACGTGATAGGTGATCTGGCAACAGACCGAATGCAGAAGTAGATATGAGAGTCCAGTTATCTTTTGTTCAAGCCAAAGAGGTTTGTAAAAAAAAATGTTGCCACTCTTCTCACCAATTCACTCCAAAATCTTTTCTGGGTTCCCAAAGCACCCTCTGCCTGCATAATAGTAATACATATTAACTCATTCCTCCTCTGTCATACTAGTCCAGATGAGAGCATGTTTTGAAAGACTTCCAGATGTGGAGTTTGGGCCTGAAAGCCAACAGAAAATAAAGCAGAAGGTCTTCAGTGATTTCTGCATCCCCCCTCAGCTGAATGGCGTCCGCTTATTGGGCTAGCTTAGAGACCGCATCGGGAGCTGCTGCCTAGGGGTCACTCCTGGCACACGAGGAACCACTGAGAAGGGTGAGGTATGTTTGCACTGTCCTGTATAACCCACTTTTACTCTCTCTGCTACTGCTTCTACCTGACACCCACTGGTTCAGAACAGGCCAGGGCTCGCTCAGTGTACGAACATTATCTTCTTCGTGATTATTCACTCTGTGTGTTGGACTGTACCTGAGGGCATTGTTACAACATCCTAGAAAAGGATTTCCTGTTTCTAGACCTGCTGACACATCACTTTTCTTCATTGGTAGAGAATCTTAGGTAACTGACTGGATCATACTTTAGGGCAAATAGGTTTTCTCAAAAATCTGTTATAAGGGGAAAATGTTTTTGAGTAAGTGTATGACTTGGAGGGAAATGCCCTTGTGAATTAAAAATATATATATATATCTATTTTCAGCCTTAGTCTATAGCAGTTCAAACAAATAACTTGCTGAGGTATGACAAATGGCCTGAAATTCTTAGGACATCAGTCATGCCAAATGAGACATTTAAGCCAATGGTATTGCATCAGTCGGGGAGAAATGGGTCTTTGAAGCTCTCTGCAGTCAAGAGTAGAGATGTGAGGAGATATACCCATCCATAAAAATTGTAGCAGTGTAATGACTGGGGGCTCGCATCCTGAAACTAGCTGAGAGCCTGATAACGTAACAGTATTAAGGACGTCTGAAAAATGCCAGGATGAACAGACTTCTAGTTTCAAAATGTCAGAGTGAAGATTATGTTTCCCCTTCTGCTTTTAAACATTACAATAAGGGCAACTAGGAGAGTTGGAAACAGAAATGCAAACTCCAGCTGAGACAAAACTGGGTCACTACGGAAGAGGGAGAACTAACTGCCGAAGGCAGTGAAAGGGGGAAGACGGAAGCGAGGATGCTCACAGCTGGGGTCTGCAGGGAGCGGCTCACTCCGACGGGCAAAACACCCACTGCACAGCGGAACCCCAGAAACAGGCAGGCTGGCTGTTGGCAGAGCTTCCCTGGGCCCAATCTGACAGAGAAGAAGGGCACGCGTGAGGCCACGAGAAAACAAACATAACCCGAATGTATGTCCAGGGAGTAGTCTGGGTGGATGGGAGAGATGTGGACTGCTGATCTTGGTTTGAGAGAAGTGAAGCAACACAACCCCGTGTCATAAAGAGACGCTTCTACCACTTGGAAGGTGGCCCCGGTTCCTTCCCCTGATGACCCTCCAGCCAATAGCTGCTCCAGGAAAAATTCACCTAACTCAAAGATTAAAAAAGACCTAGCAGGCAGACACATAAGACAACAGAAAAGAGGGAAAGTAACAGTAAAAACAGTAACACAAAAACCACTCACCAGAAAAATGCCACAGAAATGAAACGCTACCATAGAAAATGAAATGTATAACCAACCACATCACTTTGAATTTAAAATACTCCTGAAACAATTCCTCTATAAACAAGAGATCCACACGGAGACGTAAGATTTCCAGGAAGACGTGAGACGAGAAAAGAAATGAGCTGACAGAGGAAAGACACGGAAGGGAAGAATAAAACCACCACCAAAATGAAAGCAGAAGCTGGAAAGGATAAGCTACAGTAAGTAATATGAAGGGCAGACCACAATAAGCAAAGAATGATTCAACAGAAAACACAAGACATGAAACATAAAAGATATATACATATCTGGACTCCCTAGAGGAACCCGAAACATCTGTGATACTGAAAATCAGGTGAAAAGGACAAGCCACGCATACAGAGGAAGAGATGAGAAGGGCCTCCCACTTGTCCACACCGCCACTCACTGCTCGCTAACAGTGATGCGAGCAGATTTCTGTAACCAGCTCTGTGGCGAGTGGACACCACACTAGGACAATGGCTACCCCTGTATGTCCCTCACGAATTCTTACTGCAGCATCGTTTGTGAAAGCAGAGGTGGAAAACAACCCAAGTGTTCGCTGCTCATAGGAACTCGTTCAATAATTACGGCTCATCTGTACAACAGAATGCTATCAGCCATGGACGAGAACAACACAGCTGGATATGTACTCATGTGAAATGACACCCAAGGATGCTCTTAAGATTTAAAAAAAAAAAAAAAAAATCACGGTACACAATAGCGTGTGCGCTACCACTGTGTGTGCTTGTGTACACAGGGGCCCAGACCCGGGGCCAGCAAACCACGGCCCAGTCCACCGCCTGTCTTTGTGACCCAACAGCCACGCCTATTCATGTGCATACTGTCTATGGCTACTTCCACGCTACAGCAACGCTGAGTATCCGCAACACAGGGTGTGACCCTCAAAGCCTCAACTCCGGCCCTTTGCAGAAGAAGTCTGCCAACCCCTGACATAGACTTTCCCTGCAAACACGCACAAGGAATTGGTAACAGTGACTACCTCTGCTGAGTGGGTCTGGGAGGATGGATCTGAGGGCACCCTCTCCCCTTTGGTGCCTTGGGATCCTACTGTGATCCTATCACTGCGAGGCGATGGGGGGGCCGCCGTGGTGACTGCACCCCAGTGTTGTCTGTGTTGGCGTCATTTCACCCTTCCTGTCCAGTCCTTTCAAAGGAAACGAACCCCATCCAGACGACCCTTCTGGCAAGAGCAGAGAATTGCTGCCTAAGGCCCAGTGACGAAGAGTGGAGGGAGAGGAAGGCATACACGTGGCTGTATTTGGAGCAAAAAGCATCTCCTATTTTGTCCTGTCTTACATGAATGCACAGTGAGGAACTCTGAGTACATGATGAATAACTTTCAAGCACACACACACACACAAAAAGACCTACTTTCATAGATTCCGGTTTCAGAAAGATTTTTAAAAAAATGTTAAAGTGACACTCTCTTCTTCCACTCAGACTCAGTTCTAAAATGCTTGAAGGTTTTCAGACAGCCTCAATGCTCAATTTTCAACTGTTTAAAAATATACTTATTTTAAAAATAATTTATCAACTAAGAAAGGCTCAAAAAGGAATCTAGGTCAGTGTATTTGAGACAGGGATTTTTTTAAAACCTCATTTAAAATTTGAAAAAGAAAAGAAAAACAGAGGGACCATCCTATCTCCACCCTCAAGAAAAATGCACTAAAACCAAACATCCTACTTTCATTCATTTAATCCCATGGCACTTCATCTTCAGTGACTCTAATACTTAACATTTAAATCATGCATTTGGAATTTATAAGGCAATCCTTTGAAGGCCAAGGATTTATGCTCTGATGCAGGTGTGCAAACCCCAATTTATCTGTCCTTTAAATATTTAATTTCTGCATTTAGTCATTTAGTAAAGCTTCCCTTAAAAATTTTCCTGGAGTGTCTGAGACAATTTAATGGCTTCACTGTAAAGCTCTAGTTACATCTCACTAAAATGACAACCCAGCTGCTTCCTGAAGTTTTATACAAGAACTTTACAAGAGTAGGAACTAGGGAGAGAGAGACTGAGACATACCCTCAATCAGCACATGCTCAAACATCTGGGTACAGGCAAAATGTTCTTCTGCATTATGTTCAGCCAGGGCCCCACCAATGCTAATTACCACTAGCAAATTAGGGAAAGGTAATCCTTCCCCTGGCTCCATGGTGGGTTCCAGAAGGCTGGATTTTAGCCTTCTCTCCCTGTCAGCTGAGCTCTCTGCGGCACGAGCAACTGACACAACCATACAGGCGAGCTCCAAGGTCCTCAACATGAGTGGATAGCAGTGTTTCCATGTCCAGCCTTTTATCCTGCCCTGGGCTTTCTGCATGCAGTTTCAGTAACAGAAGAGAAGACAGAATTATTTCAAATAGTCTTACAATCAAACCTGGGACTCATGAAGATGCTCGTGCCATGAATCAGCCCAAGAGAGTAAAAGAGTGTTCTAAGAAATGTAATTGTCCTCCCACACCTCTCCAAGCAGGTCATGTTGAGACTCACCATGGTAATTCCAGCCACATGATCCAGGAGGGGGACCAGTCTCCGGCTGGGGCCATGTTGTGGTTGGAGTCCAGGGCTGCTGGGCTGTCTGGAGCTTCCTGGGGCTCACGTTCTTTGACTTCCAAAGCTTTAAGAACCACCAAGGAGGATGTACTTTTCAATAATGCAACTGCCTCGCTCCGGCTGACTTCTGTTAGTTCAATCCCATTCACATTTAACAAAATGTCACCTAATGGCCAGAGAAGCAGAAGCCGTCCTTAGTAAGAGTGCAAACAGGAACTTCTGTAAAAGTGCCAAGGAGAAAGCACTGAGCGGGATGTGGGGAAGTGAGTAAGATGAGGGGGCTTGTCATTAGCCTCCTGCATTGGCATAAGGCTGAGTTCTCAAATAGCAAATGGTTAGTGTGTGCATGTTTCAAGGCATTGGTGAGTTATGTGTGGAGGTTTCTAAAGCATACCCATTAGTGTTTGGCTCTTGCCTTTAAAAAAAAAAAAAAAAGGAAAGAGGGGCGCCTGGGTGGCTCAGTCGTTAAGCGTCTGCCTCTGGCTCAGGTCATGATCCCAGGGTCCTGGGATCGAGACCCGCATCGGGCTCCCTGCTCAGCCGGGAGCCTGCTTCTCCCTCTCCCACTCCCCCTGCTTGTGTTCCCTCTCTTGCTGTCTCTCTCTCTGTCAAATAAATAAATAAAATCTTTTTAAAAAATAAAAAAAATTTAAAAAGGAAAGAAGGAAGATAAATTAGCCTTGTTTACTATTTAATCCAAGAAAACCTACTTCTTCACGTCTTGTTTCTTGTTTTTAGCACAAAGGGAGAGCATTTGGCAAAAGCTCCGAGTGCCTGCAGAGAGCCTGGCATGTGGTAGGCACCCAGTAAATATGGATTGCATGAATGAATAAGAGACTACCCCTGAAAGGGTCTGGCAGAGGAGTCTATAGCAGTTAAGAAAAATGAACTGGAACTATGCTCTTGAAGAGGGAGAAAGGAGTTAACATTGTGGTTCACTGCAAAGGTAATACTACTACTGTTGGGTAAGCACCTACTATGTGCAAGGCTATTTCCCCACACAATACTACACAATCCTCTGCTCACGTTCTCTTGCTAACAAGTCACTACTTGGTGAACCTCATCATTCTCCACCCAGGTGCTTGGGTGAAAAGGAAGAGCAAGACAAACCAAAACACATACCTCTCCTACCTCCAATTTCTAGTCTTTTATCTCTCTCCTGATCTTCTGCCTCCATTGAATATCATCTTTTTCACATGGAATAGCCATAGCAAGAGTAAAAAGATAGGAAGAGACATATGGGAAAGGCTTGGAGTCTTGCCTAACCCCAAAAGATGCACTGTTAGGTTGGCCAAAGAAATCCCTTACCATGCTACCCCCCTGTGGCTCCTCAGGCCAAGCAACTGTACTTCAGGAACTTCACATTGAACTCTTGAATCTAAGCCCTTAAATGACATAGTTGCTCAACCATCTGAGCTACCCACTCATGGGAATTGACAATATTATTAAGGATACATATGTGACATCCCTTTCCTTCATTCAAAGTAGCCCAGGACACATAAGATTAAAATAATGAAACTTTTTTTTTTTTTTTTAACAGTGGGAAAGAACCTAGGATGGTACTTTCACTTAATATTCATTGACTCAAAATCTATGAAAGTATTTCTCCCATCCAACCCATAAAATGGAACAATTCATGAATAGGTTCATCACAGGATCAATCCAGCAAAGAATCACTTAGAAAGAATGGAACCAAATTATGCCATTCAGTTGAGGCCACTTGCTCATAACTGTAGAAGTTCCCCATTACTTCTTGGCATATTTCGCAGGTACTCACTTGATTAGCAAGCCAAGTGGCCCACATCAACCCACACAAACTAAGAGGGGTGAAACCCAGTCCAGCAGCTATACTCAAACCAATCATGGTCAATGGGTAATAGAGGTCCTGGGCAGCTCAGCGTCTCATCCTCTCATTATTTCTGGAAGCAGTGACCTGACCCAGCAAGCTGCTAACTCATTTTAACACCCCACTGCCCCAGTACCGTAAGTGTCTTTTTACCTGTTTTTATTCTTCCATCTCTGCTTATGACTCCTCCGGGCTCAACACTGATGACGTAGATAGGCAAAACCCATTCCCTATGTGATGCTCCGCCTGCAACGGTCATGCCAAGAGATTCGCTGGGGTCTTTTCGGACACTTACCACCTTCTCATGGCAAGTGACCACAGGATGGAGGGGCTAAAGGCACAGACAGAAAAACAAACATAGCACATCTGCTCACAAGAGGGTTTGCATTTCCTACATACAAAAACTACCCAAGTTGGATAAATCTATGACGGTAGTCTTTGGTCTCACAGAGAAAGACATGTGCAGAGAGAACCCTGGCTTTGTCCGCCATCCTCAGCAGAGTTGTATTATCCCAAATTCTATAGGCTGATTCAGAGAAAGTTTGCATTTCGAATGGGAATGGAAGAAATGGAAGAGGAACAGGTTGGAGGCCACTGGAGAAATAGTAAGCACTCAAAGTGAACTGCACCCAAAATTTTTCAAGTGACTCATTTATTCCTGATAGTAGTATCTCATAAAAAGCTTGTCATTCATGAGTAGCAGGAATTTTTTTTCTAAGTTAAAAAAAAAAGTAATAGTATTTTAATTAAATAGTCTAAGTTTAATTTAAGGAGGGACTCAATTATAGAACTCCTTAAGGAAAAATAATGGATTTAATAGATATTCCACTCTAAAAACTCCCTACTGACTGGGTTCTCTCCAATTAGCATTTTCACTCTTACTTCAGCATTTCTAAATAATATGCCGTTCTACCCTTTAATTACATAAAAATATAGTGTACACATTGTATAGCATACACTGAGGACCGACTTTCAAAAAGCAAATTAAGAGAACTGTGATTTTGGTTCAGCAACTCTGGACTAAAAACATTCAAAGCTACATGCAGTGTTATCTTGGAGCAATAAGACAGTCTAGTCAAGGGCATATTTATCAATGAATACATATCAACATATAATTTTTCTGAAAATGTGTTCTCCTCCCTGCTTGTGCAATGACCTAGGGGTATAAATGGGAATGTGCACTGCAAATAAATATTTATAATACTCGATTAGACCTCACAGAAGTCTATAGCTCAAAACACAGCTTACAGTTGTATCTAAAGAAAGAAAATTAAAAAGTGTATCTGGTAAAAAAAAAAAAAAAAAATCAGGGTACAAAAGAAAGTGTAAGTATATTCCTTCTGTTTAAAAAGAGGGAGGAGAAATTGTATTAATATTTGCATTTCATGAAGACACTCTGGAAACAAGAAAGTGGCTTTATGGGTGTGAAGGTGGGAACCGGACAGATCAGGCATGGGTGGGAGGCTCCTTCATGCATACTTTCCATTTTTTGAACCCTGTGAATGTATTATCTATTCAACAAATCAAGTGAATGATAATTAAATTTCTGTAAAGTTGATGGTTAACATCATATAGAACTATTGCCTGCATGCACAAGAGTCCATTTTTAACACTTCATTATGACGATAAGCCTAGGCTTTTTGTGCATTTATATCTCATGATTTTCTATGGTATAAAATTACCCATGCCTGTTTTAATGGCCTTATTGTATCCAGTAGTAGCCTGTTACTATATCCCTAGCACTGAATATAGCATTTAGCACATTAAAGATGGTAACTATGTTTGTCAGATAAATGGATGGTTAAATTACAAGTTGCCACAAATTGTCAGGAATTGCAAACTACTATGGCCAGGTATATGTTACAATTAGTACTTGGAAGTTCTGGGGTGTGTGTCTCTATAAACCCCAGAACCTTGAAGAGACTGGTTATCAGAAGTGAGTTATAAAACTGAAATGGGAACTTCTTCAGGGCAAAGATTCAACATAAGACAAATAAGTAACAACATGAACGCAGTGGTCCTAGCACTACAGAGGAGTTCTGGAGGTACTCTACAGATCCATTCTCAGTTCATGACCCTTCTCTCCTACAAAGCAGTTAGATGTAGCATGTCTCTGCCTTAATCACAGACATCTCTCAGAAAAGCCCTGCTTGGAAATGCAGGCAGTTCTGAAATGCCCACAACTCAGGGCAAAGTTCTAAACCTAGGGACTCTTCCTGGCTGCTCTGTGGTTTCAGCTCATTCCTGCGGATATTCATAAAGCATGTACTCCTGATCCTCACAAAGAAGGGTTTTCCTCCATTATTTCCACACGGAAGCCAGGGATATTGAAGGGGTAGCAGATCAGTCTCCCAAGGTGATGTCTAAAAACACAGTATGGCATGCTCTGGAAAACAAGGACATCTTCTCACATTAAAAAATGTATGTGTACACACACACACACACACACACACACACACACGCACGCTCTATTGCATTCTTGAACAGCCGCCTAGTACTTCTTCATGTGGATATGTCCTATCCCCCCACTGAGGACCATTTTGGTTGTTTATAAGCTTCTTGCAAAATTAAACAGTGTCACTGTGAACATCCTTAGACACATATCTTGTGCACTTGTGTAAATATTTCCTTGGGCTAATGTCCTAAAAGTACAACTGCTGAATCAAAAAGACTGGGCATTTTACATTTTGATACATAGGAAATAGTTCGATCACCTATAATCTCACCAATACATTGTGAACATGCCGATTTCCCACAATTCTGCCAATACTGGGTTTTATCAATATTTACAAGATTTGCCCAGAGGAAAAGAAGATTCCAATAATCTAATTGCCTTTCTAGGTAGTAAGTTTAAATACATTTCATTGTTATTTGGATTTCTCACAGTAATTACAAGATCTTTGGAGATCTTGTAATACCATCATCACTCAAAGCTCTCCTGACCTCATTTATGAAGTGGGGTTTCAGAATGCCCATGTAGGGCACACCTGTGACTGAAGAAATGCCTTTGATCTGAGAATACTTCATTAAAAAAAAGTGTCACTAAATTCATTTGAAAGTGGCAAAATTACATATCTTATGAAATATTCCAGAAATGGCTTCTTACCAGCCACACCAGTTAATAGAAATAAATGAGGCCCTAATTATTTTGTTGTGAATAAATATTCCTTGAATAATGTACAAATTGGCCAGGTATCTTTGAGGAAAGGGAAAGGAATATTTGTTATTTACTTAAATGTGTCCAGGCAGAAAAACTGAGACTCAACATTAAAACGAATCTGATCAATGAAGCACAGCTGGCCAGGGGGGTGGGGGTGGGAGGTGGGATTGGCAACTGAAACCCCAGATATCTGACTAAATCCGTGCTCTCCCCACCACACTACTCTGCTTTCAGAGGCCATGTCTCAACAGGTGATAAAAAGTAACCTATCAATTTTCAGATAACTGTCAGAAAAACACATGAAAGAATCAGTTACTCAATTTTTCCAGGAATAGTTTATCTCATTGACTAGAGAACTCAACTCAAACCCAATTCTGCCAAATAAAATATATGACAAATAAGATTCGGACGCCAAAACCTATGTGCTCCTGGCTGCAGAGATGGGCTATTTCTACTTGTAGATATGAGTTCCTGGAGAGTGGAGTCTTCTTCCACACTTATTCAGTGCTTACCCAACAGCCTTGCTGTGCTGAATAAGGGGAGGTTTCAAGCATTTATGGGCTCCACACAAATGACTGGGCTACCACAAATGGGAAATATGTCCTTTGTCCTGTGTTTCTGACAGCCATCTGCCTTCCCCACCAGAGAGAGACACCCATGTTAGCAATGGAAAACCCAGGTACCACCATGAACCTTTCCCACACAGAATGGCTGGACTCTGGTTGGGGAGAAAGAGAGTTAAATACGACAGGGATCTTCTTTTCCATCTGGGTTTTCTCCCAGCCCCCCTTCTCTACTTCAGAGATCTCAGGATGTTCCCTAATGTTCAAAAACACAATTTAGTATGAACTAATTCAAGCTGATTCGAAAACATCATGAGCACCAGTCTACTTTCACTTAGCTATAAAAATACATACTTTATAAAATACTGGGATTTTTAAAATAAAACACTTTAGGTTTATAAAAAATATATAAAGATGAACCTAATGACCTACCCATGTAACTTACAACCCAATGTCAGACATACGGGGGCCACTACAGTTGAAGTCTCTCTGTGATTTCTCTCTGGTCACTTTCCCTTTCCTCTCCCACAGAGGTAGCCACACGCCTACACTTGACAACCTATTTGTCTTTAACTTTTCAGTTGGCTACAAACTTTTCTGTCTCACAAGTCTTGGTTTGCCTTCTGTGGTATTTTTCTGACTCATTTGAGCTGCTACTTTCAAAAAGCCATCTTGTTTCCTAGATAAAACAAAGCTTAGTAGGATCATAAAAGCCTAAATCATCCAAGAGCCATATATGTCTTAGTTTTATTTTAAATAGGCCACATGCGTGTGTGTGTGTGTGTGTGTTTGAGGGCATCTCAGAAGGCAGACAGAACTATAAGTTAAAATGAAAATATTACAATTTCCCACTAGGCCAGTTTGTTCTGTATGTTTTCCAGGAGTTAGATACATGACATAGATTGCAGCAAAAATTTGAACAGCTGTTTCCATGATTCATGGTGGTTAGGTGGAAGGGATTATAGACCCACAGTGCTGGTGGAAGCCTCATGCTTAGTGGTTTAATGAGCTAAAATACAATATAGTCTAGTTAATCCAGCTATAATTAGTTAATTAGATTAATTAGATTAAGCTAATAAACTAGTTTTCCATTAATAAATACCATTAGTTTAATTTAAACACACTAATGGTATTTACTAGCGAAAGACACCAGGGAGTCCTTATCCACAAAATGTTTTAGCAGGAGTTGCCTGGTCTGTCTAGATTGCTTACTGTAAATAAGCCTGGAATTTACGGATTTATGGGACATGGCTGGCTAGCTGGCTGCAGAAAGAGGCAGGGGTGTGGCCTCGTAGGCTGTATCATTAATGACATGTTTCAAAATCAAAATTATGAGTCTTGTTTCTGCATCCATTACTCAAAAACCCAAACTTGTGAGTAATTCCAAACTGAAACACAGCCTGATATGTTCTGATTGCTATGATAGGCATTCCTTAATCTCTCTTGCAAGATGAATGGACTACCTATAGATTTTTTTTTTTTTTTATCTTTAGTTACAAGTACAAATTGGGCTAAGTCACCTCATTGAAAGAGAGGCTCAAATTGCTGGCCTGAAGGATACATTCAGCCTATAGGTGCATTCTGCTTAATCCACATTACTTTACATTATTTCCAAATTTAAATGCTGTAACAGGGCATCTGCTTTCTGATTTGTCCCATTACCCACCATTACTCCTAATGTTACATGAACTTCAAGGGTTTATATTATCTTCCTGGGTTCTTCTGCAAAAACAAACATACTAAAATTAACAGAGGAATTATTTTAATTATAATTATTTTAATTATTTAATTAAAGTAATTATAATTAAATATATCATTATAATAATTTAATTTTTCATAAAATAATTATCAGGCAGATTGGGAACTTAGAAAGTCAAAAACCAAGCAAATCCAATTTCATTTCAAAATGAATGAAAACGGTCCTTAAGCAAAATGACTGTTGGAAAAACATGACATATATTTGGCTTTTACTTGAAATTATGTCCCCATGTGAAGTCTGTAAGATCAAGTTTCAAAATTCTCCTGCACCTTCTTCCCTCTTGCTTGGATGGGAGACACCTGTTATCTCACCAGGTCCTGAGGATGGGACTTCAGGCTTTTTGTTTTACAAGCCAAGTCAAACAGTGTTCAGGTGATGAAGTCCAGAGGTTACACTTAGAAAGGTTAAAGTGTGCAGCCTTTGCAAGAAATAGCTTCCTGCAGGAGGAGTGGACATACTCAGGCTGGGGCTTACCTTGGGAGTGCTGCTCCTGTCCCCTGGCCCCGGGAACCGGCTGCTGTTGTTATTCCAGCCAGCGTCCTGAAAGATGTCAGGACTCTGCAGCCGAACCTGGCGGGACACGACGAGGTGAACACGCCTTTCACTGGCCTGGGGGAGAAGACACAGACATTAGCCACTCTCAGAGCTTCCATCCAACGTGGCCGGCACCAGGGGCTTACCAACATGCGAGTTTTATTCTACTCTAATGGAAACAAATGGTGTCTAGTATTTCTCATGGCAGTGCCCATTTTGTAATTTGGCAAGAACATGAGAATTATTTCCTTTGTCTTTAAATCAGGGAATGTAACCTGCTTCAAGGGAAAAACTAGGGAAGGTTTGACTTATGCAACAGTTTTTTGCAAAGACATCATCAAACATTGTTATTTTTAAGGGACAGCTCCACTGCACACAAGCCACGTCTGAAGGACCTCTCAGAACAGAGTACACAGTGTAAAGTCTAAAACCCGGATCGAAGGTAAACAGTACAGAAAAAGGAACAGAGTTGGTGGCAGCAACTCTACTACCACAGGAAGAGAAATCCTGCATCTACAGTGCTAGACACGTAGGCATGGGAAAGGACGAACACTTTAGCAATACAGGGATGACTTAATAGGTTCCAAGACAGCCTGATTAAAGGGCTTTGCCTTGATCCTTTATTTTTTATGTGACTATCACTAATTCTGACTCCTCTTCCTCTCTGCTATATACACTGATGCTTGCACAGAACATTCCAAACAAATACATTTCTTACTGGGGAGGTCCACTCCACACCATAAATTTACAAATTGGCTTTCTGCCACAGATGAATTTCATTTCTGTTTGAGAGCATTACTCATTTTTCCACAACTGCTGACTACCGAGGCTCCAGATCCACAAGGCAGACAGAGGAGACCTTAGCCCTGTGAATTGTACATTAATAAAGCTCCCTGATGGCCCAGAGTTGATTAGAAAGGTCCCCAAGAAAGACTAGATTTGGGGACAAGGTGGAAAAGAGAGGAGTAAGTTTCTGGGGTTCTCCTCGTCACCCCACCCCCTGACTGCTCACCACAACAGCAGAGATGGACATTGGCCCACCTGCCTTTCTTCCTTTACAGGTATGGCTATCAGACCATGGAAAAATCAGGTCATGAAGGACGACCTTGTTTTTAAAACCTTCATCAATCAGAGCCCCATCAATGAATTCAGATCCCCACGGTTGTCCAACCAGCCCAAACCTTCATGGTTTTGCATCCTTACGTTAATAAACATTTCTTCTCAGAGCTCTCTTGAAACTTAGGGATCATCAACTGGGTAGCTATAAATCAGAGGAAATTTTAAAAACAACCTCTGAAGTGCATTAAGAGTGTATTGGTGGATGGTGGGCCAGTCGAGTGGATTCATCTGTGTAATTCCGTAATTACAAAAATCCTACTGAACAGGGCCCGAAAAGCAAGTTCAAGTTTTCACTCATGTTCCTTCACATAAAGCCCAGTCATCCCTTTTGCTGGTCTACTCAATGCTCACTTACATACCTTCCCTCGGTTCTTTGCCTATCTTGAATTCCTTGGTGTTTCTTATCACCTTTAGAGCTTGCATCAGAACAAAAATAACAAGCTCAGGAAACAATAATGAAGCAAGAAGACATGAAGAACTACAATATGAGCCAGCTAAACTCAATTCTTAGAGTATTTTGTAATAATGTTTTTCTTTATACGGTAAGCCTCGCTTATCCTAATGAGGTTATCGTTAGGAACTTTCTGAAGCAAAAATGACTAAGAGATAAGTGGAAAATACTCCAGTCAAAACTCGAACTGCTGAGCCCAAATTTGCTCCTTATCTTCAGGGAAACTCCAATGTTTTAAAGGATCTCAGCAGTGGGTTTGTCTTTGGCCTGCATATTGTATCACGTTCACTTGGCCCAGGATCAATCATGTGACATAGGCACCTCATAAGAATTGAGGAAAATCTGAGACTTATATCAAATCAACTTGCCAGGTAAAATTCAGAATGCCAGGGAGCAGCCTGGGAGAGCTGTTTAATTCATACTTTCAAACACAAATTTCTCACCGGATTTTCAAATGCCGACTTTGGTAGTAAGCTGTTGGCAGGAACAACGCTCCAATAAATAACCCTGGTATCAATTTACTTGGAAATAAATTCTCCACAAGGCTGGGTCTGTGGCTCTTAACCAGCCACCTTACAAACTGCTCTCAGGGAGACTCCATCGGTTTCACTTTCTTTCCTGGTGTTTGAAGCTGTCAGGTGGAAAATAGGCTAATGTGTTTGTACTGGCTCTAGCCCTTAGGAGCAGCCGGATCCAGCGTCGAGAAACAGCCCTTAGAACCAGCAAGTCTTTCTTTCTGTGGGTGTGAAGGTGAAGTGTGAGAAGGGGGGTGAGGGGAGACAGAAACTTTTTTATTGCTTAGCCACATCATATGTGCCAGAAAGATGGGTGCAGCAGATCGCTGGCTTCAATAGCACGCTCAGAGGAAGAGCATGCTACAAGACAGGGGTAGGACAGCATCTCTTGGAAGCCACAATTGTGGCTATCTTGAGTAGCAGACAAGGCTAGAGGACAGTCCTTTTCGGGTGAAGTTTCCTCTCTTCTTTCTCCTTTAAACAGCCTCAGTTTTCGAGGCAAACTCTGGACACGAAGGTTACAAGCCGCATAGGCCGACTGCTGTACCTATTTCTCCTTCTTCTTCCAAGAGCCCAAGCGTTAAACCCTCTCTCCTTTCTATAGGTTAAAGGGAAGCCCTTCTAAGGGCCTTCATGTCCTCGCCTGGGGACCTCAGCTTGTTGGTAGCTGTTCTGTCTCCACGGCTGACACGTGCCTGCTCTGAGCCAGTCACTTCACTAAGAGCCTTGGGGAAATGGCTCCTGTCCTCCGATTGTCCTACTTCAGGGACAGGCAGGAACAGGTGCCGTGAAAGAGATATGGGCTACACGCGTGAGACTCTCTAGGCTGGAACCCATTACTTCTAGCCAAGGAAATAGGAAAAATCTAATATTCAGAGAAAACCAAAGGGTTAAAACTGAGTAGCATTTATCATGATAAGGCTTGTCTTTTTGGGTGATGGTTTAAGGATTATTTTTCTCTGCTCTTTTGAGATTTGACTCAAGACTGCCAATAATATTTATATGACGGGACTAAGCAGAGGCCACAGAAGGGAATCATAGTCTGGCAGCCTCATTTAGGTGTAGCCCATTTAAAAATAATAAAATCCCACCTCTTGTAACTGGAAGGAGGAGTCTGAAAGCTCTATGCTGACGTCTTGCAAGGCAAGCATCCTGTACGGTCATGTTCAGCCCGGGGAATGGTTCTTTTCCCTACAGAAGCCACTGTGGCCAATAAGAAGTGTTCATAGTGTCAGGATACCACACAGATCAGAAACTTCACAGAGAAGACAAATGGAAAATCAAAGACGCCACCACGCAAAGCAGGAGAGGCATTTTGCAGAGCTGTACATCTGAGCAGAGGGTGTCTTTCTACTGTTCTGCACTGCTCGGGGCCACGCAATGGTGAAGGCAGCCAGTGAGAACTAGGGCAGACCGAGACTTGATAGTGCCCCTGTACTTCAAGGTGTGACCTCCTCACCTAGCCCAGGGCTTCACCTATTCACTGTGAAGGAGGATTGACTCAAATCACATGCATTACACCATTTGCTGCTTTAAAATATATATATGCTTAAATAAAACAGTTTTTAACATTCTAAAGACCTGAAACAGGGAAATTCCAAGCTGTTAGGCATCCAGACTATTGCTCGGAGCAGGGAGACCATAAACACACAACTCTTATAACACCAGTATGGGTCCACAGGCGACCCATGCTTGACTGGGGAACTCTTGTTACAGAGACAAGTGAAAGCTACAGTTGCATTTATAATAACATAAGCTTGTCTTCCCTTAGTGTTCCACCAACAAAGGTTTTAATGAGCATTTCTTAAAAGATAATTCATCCTGCATCTGCATTCCCTACTCATTTCTTTTCCCAGGATCCCAGAGGGAGACAGTCTAGCTTTGATTTTCAATGTATGGTTGTAGGGATGGTTTTTGTTTTTTTCCTATACTCTCTGGGGTTGCCCCATCTTAGCTTCCCTTCCACCAATTACTCAAGGATCCTTGTCAGTTCATCTGTCTTGTGCTCACAATGCCCTGGGAAATTGTGGGGCACTGGTTCCATATCATTAAATAGCCACATATATGGAAGAGATGTCAGATAGCTAAGCCAACATTCTCTCTGTAACTCAGGCTTCAGTTCCCCCACAAAATCCTTGCCATGTTGTCACCCAGCTCATGCTTCAGTGCCTCCAAAGACCGTGAACTCACTGTGTCCCAGGGCAGTGTGGGCTGTTCTTAGATAGTGCTAATTAGAAAATTTGTCCTTGGGCTGAGCTAAATGTGCCATTTTCTTGCTTGCCCATTGGCTCCAGTCATACCCTCTCAGATAGCTCCAAATCAATTTCTGTGGGACAATCTTACTTGAAGATAAGGCTCACTCTTCTCTCTTAGCTCTTCTCCTTTCCAGGTCAAATATTTCTACTTTAATATTTCATATGTTTTCAAATCATCTCAAAAGCTTGACGAACTCTAACTTCCTCTAATAAATTTGAGCGGGGTGTGTGTATATAGAATCAGATCTGGAAGAACCAATATAGAGTAGTTTCTTCGCGCGTGGACCAGCTATACCCAGGACCTCAGTGATGGGGTTCCTATTTTGCCACGTCATACATCCATAGGGGATTAGCTCTGTGAAGCCAAGAGCTCCATAGATGTCAGTCTTCATTATTAGTGATTAATTAGAAGATGACAAGGAGGTTCCCAGGGCCTCACTAAGGGACACCTTACATCAGTACAGCCTAGCTTTGAGATCACATAAGGCACATAGATCCTACATGGCAATACAGACCACAGGAGGCATCAGAACCATCGCCAGTTGGTAGGCTAGAAAAATACCAAAGTCACCAGTCATTTGTTGACCTGGCAACGTACCACACAATGAGATGCAGAAACAAAGTCCTTGCCCTATGCCTCTCTTCCAGTGAACAAGAGAAATTCTGAGAAAAATACCTCTCACTGAGCAAAAAGTTGGGGTTCCAGAAATAGAATTCCTGAACAAGCTAACACGGTGCACTGTAAGCGGAGAGTTTCTGGAAAACAAGCTTGGCGCAAGCAAACCTGAGGTGCGCAGATTTGTCCATCGTTGAAACATTAGCTCCTAGCATAGCTCCTGACACATTTTTAAAAGAATTCAAGAATATCTTCTGCTGGAGAGGCAGCAGCTACTTTAGTGAGCAAAGAGCAACCAGAGTCTGGCCAAGGAAAAAGGAAATTAAGGAGGCTTTGAGGAAAAGTGAATTGGACCTTAGGATTTGACCAGGGTAGAAAAAGATTTGAGACAGAAATTTGGTCTACTTTCCCTCTTGACTGTAGCTCCATATTCATCCTTCTGCTCCCAGAAGCACATCTTTAAGGGCTAAGATGTTAATGATGACATTAATGATGTACACAGGGTCATACAGAGGTCAATGACAAGGTCAAAATAAGAATTTAGTTCTTGAGTTCTCGTGGCTGATTGCCGAGTCAGCAGAATGACCCAGGTCCTTTGCCTCAAACATCATTTCTTTATGGTATCTAGAAGTTATTCTCGTGGTTGATTCTGTTCTGTGGCGTTAAAAAAAAATGCACATGGGATATTTTGAGTTGGAGGAAGGGCAGTGTAGCCTCAAGATTCCCTAATATTAAATAAAAATAGATTCCCTAATATTTGTAGTGTGGAGCTGTGCATGAGATTCACTGACAAAATTCTAAGCTGAAAAGCTGTACAGTTTACCAAGTCATGCTTTATCATGAATGCATGAAATTTAGAGCCCTGTATAAAAATCATCTGGACTTTAAGAATTCAGCTCAAGAAGATAGTTTTTACATTTATGTATTCTTTAGCCTTTGTATTAAATTTATTACAATGCCATGTTAAGAAAATTGGTTTAAATGGGGATTTGACTCTGTATTAGCTGTGCTGATCTGTAAAAAGCACATTGATCTATCAGGTCTTATTTCACTGGCAGTTCTTACTGGCTCCAGGGGACAAAAGTTCTGTCTTTTTTCCGGTTGTGCAAAACTCATGAGCTGGAATCACATATTCAGAACAAATGTAGGTAATACGAGTAGTTCATTATTTACTTTCCGGCTCTGACTAGAGGCTGCTCACGTTCTTTTGAAAAGTCTGAAGAGCCTCGTTGCCAGTTGTTCTTTGATAAAATAACTTCTAATTTAAATATTAATTCATGGAAAGGGAACAAAAATTCACACATCTGTAGGTATTAATGAAAACCTAGAGGTTATCATCCCCTCTACAAATGGCTTTGATTTTTTTTTTTCAGCTTCTGCCTGAAGTCTGGTAGTTGCCTAGGAAAAAAAACACACAGGAAGGAGACTCAAATTTGAAATCCAAAATTACTTTCTTCATTTCTTAATTGTATATATTTGAGCTCACTGCTCCAGAACTGTAGATGAGAGCATCTCAGAATAGGCATAGTATTGTCAGCGTAAATCATTTGCATACTGATTAGTAGAGAGAGATGCAATCTTTTTTTTTTTTTTTAAAGATTTTATTTATCTATTTGTTAGAGAGAGAGCATGCACACACAAGCAGGGGGAGCTGCAGGCAGAGGGAGAAGCAGGCTCCTAGCTGAGCAGGGAGCATGATGTGGGACTCGATCCCAGGACCCTTGGATCATGACCTGAGCCAGAGGCAGATGCTTAACCACTGAGCCACCCAGGCGTCCCACCTACAATGATTCTAGACATGGTGCTCAAAAAATTAAGAAATTGATAATGGAGAAAAATAAAGTTGTCCTAAGTTTATTGGAGTCAGCTACTCCAAATATTGGAGTCAAATGCTCCATATTTGAAGCTTCTGTCTCCTTAGGGCTTTTCCTCCTAGAGGAGTCCGTCTCACTCCTGGGCTCTGACACCTGGGGCTGCTGAGTAAGTGGGGGTTAGGACTCTACATATGTAAGTTGGTCAAATTTAAAATAGTTGTGGCTTCTCTGTAATAACTTTTCCCTGAAATAATGGAGAAAAAGTCAAGTGTGGTACTGTGGGAGAAAACATGACCAAAAGGACATGTTGTCTGGGAATTTCTTCTAAGGCAAGTATGATTCATGGAGGAGATACACGAAGGCCAGGCAGCCAAGGATTGGTTGGTAACTTGAGTCTCCACCTTTGAAGGGTATTAAGCTTAATTCCCCCAGCCTGGTGTGTGTTACAAGTATCACATAAATAAAATCCACTCTTGAGATTGCTTAACTGGATTTTCCCAGCACTCTACTTTTTCCATTTCTTTTCCAACTAGCTTTGCCCAAGTCTTTAAAAGAATTTTTTTTTCCTTTTCCCCTGCTTATAAAGCATGTTGGCTTTGTTTGGTAAGCAGAAGACTCTTTTAGGAAGTCCCACTGTTAGGCAAGATTTTACTTCATAAATTTACTTTCTCAGGGAAAAAATTTTCCCTCTTCTGTTATTAATCTACCAAAGTAGAATGCCACATGTAATCAAAATTTTTCCAAATGGCATGAGTAAGGGAGTTTTTCTTTTGCCTGTTGCGGAGTGTCATTGGCAGATTAGCTCTAGAATGTGAGCCCAGACTGACCTGCAGAGGGAGTTGACAAATATGACACAAAAATAAAATTGATGATCACCTTAAAAGTCTACTTTTAAAGTGGGGGAAAAATCATGCTTAGAGTGCAGTTTGTTCATGACGAGAAAAATTATTCTTCCTTTTCCATGGGTTAATGTTTTCATAAACATCTATTTTCTGTTCTCACCCATTGACACATACAGGCTAGAACCACTTGCTAAATTCTGACTTGACTGTATTTGAGATCTGGGACAAGAATATGTCCCAAGCTCTACAAGGCCAGGAACTGTGTCAGTCTTGTTTACCACTGTATCCACACACTTGTCGGCACCTAAAGGGTGCTCAACCAGTAACAACTGAAGAAATTCAAGAGGAAAAGATGTAGAAATTCAATCTGGGAGACAAACAGCATGTAAAAGTCGATTTGGTGTTTGTTCTCTGGTAAATGGTTTGATGAAAAATCCCTAAGAGATGGAATTAATGCATAAATTCTAATCTTCTGTATATTTACATTTTTATAACTTGACTCAATTTATTCATTCAGCAAATATTTATCGAGTGTCTATTCTTGCCAGGCATTTCTGTAAGTGCTCGATACACAATACTGTATTATTCTATACTAGGCCAACAGGTGATAAAGTAATTAGTTGGTAGGAAAAAATAAAGCAGATTAAATAAAGGATATAGAGCTGGGGGTGGGAGAAGCTATTTTAAATGAGATGGTCAGTGAAGGTGACATTTAAGGAGACCTGAATGAAGCATGGCAGTTAGACATTTGGAAGATTCTTCCAGTCAGAGGGATAGCAAGAACATCAGCCTTGATGTGAAAAAGGTCTTGCAGCTTTTGAGGAGTAGTAGCAAGAAGGCAATGTGACTGAGCATGGTAAGGCAAGGGTGAGAATACTAGAAACCCTCTTACTTTGCTTAAGAAATGAAGCTAGAAAGGTAACTAAAGGCCAAATTACATATGGCTCTGAAGGTTATTGTTAAGATTTGGAAATTTTACTCTGAGTGTCTTGGGAAGCATCAGAGAGCTGAGCACAAGAGTGACACAATGGGACTGACTGTCGACTGGCCATCGACCTGCCGTGTAGAGAGCAGAGGTAGAGAATCAGGTGTGGAGTCCAAAAGACCAGGTGGGAGGTCTCTCCCAGAGACCCAGCACCAATGGTAGCATGCCTGAGGGAAGCCGTGAAGGTGGTGAGAAATGGATTACAGAGAGAGCATACTGGAGAGAGTAAGAGATTCTTTTGGCCCAAATAACTGGGCAAATGGTGCCATTTCTGGAGACTGGAAAAGGCTGAGGAAAGAATAGGTTTGACAAGGAGTAGAGGAAGGAGAAGTCAAGGATTTGGTTTTAGACATTAAGTTTGAGATGCCTTTTACATATTCACATGGAGATACCAAGTAGGCAGTTGGTTATGTAGGTGTGGTGTTCAGAGAAGTCGAAGCTGGGCATAAGGACTTGGGAATAGATGGCATAAAGTCCAGAGGGGAAATGCCTCCTGTAACTCTGATCTTCTTCTCCACCTGCTCCACAGACTATGGCCTCAGGGCCCGTTAAGCAGATGAACATCCATCACATTGAGAATCACCCTGAAAGTGGGACACCACCAAGAGCCACATACCACATGTGCTTCCTATCCTGGGGTAGAGAGGAAGTAGGGTAAGTCCCCTTGTACTCTTTGCCTCAGGCTGTCCACATCTACAAGGACAGTATCAGACACTACTTGGTTCTCCTTGAGGAAGAGGGAGAAGATACCACACACATGACAGTGAAGAGTTGTCAACACCTGGAAGAATTCCATGGCTGGAACCCAGAGTAGGGAGACTTGTGTGTGCTTAGGTGACCAAGTTCTAGAAAGCAGGCTCTGTCTTCTGATGATCATCCTCAGCAGAACTCGGTACAAGGTTCATTTAACTACCGCTGCTGACTCGCTGTCTCGTCTTGAAGTATTAATAATTTAGTCACTAAGTGCAAGCTGATGCCGTGTGCCAGGTAATTGCAAATGCTTCATAAGATAAGGCCTCAAATCTGGCCCCTCTCCTATCAGTTCTCTACTACCTTAAGAGAGCTCTAGAAAATCATGTCACTTCCTTTTTAAAACCTTCCAATGACACCCCATGGCCTTGAGGATAAAGTCTGAACTTCTTAGCATGGATCTGGTCCTTGCCTCCCAATCCTGCCTTGTCTATGACTGCTTTTTTAATATACACCATGCTCCAGGTATGAACGCTTTTCCTAACCAGCTTTCAGGGAAATGTTCTTTTGTGTTGTATCCCCTTAAAATGACCCTCCCTGCCTTGTCTACCTAGAGAACTTCTGATTCCTCAAAGCTCCAGTTCAAGATCTTCTCTATAAAGAATTCCTAGGCCCATGCAAGCAAAAATCTCTACATCTGAAACAGCACTGTACTTAATTTCTCCATTATATTACTAACATACCATATGACAATTATTTACAGAAAGTCCATCCCCTGTACTAGATTGAGGGTTCCTTTGAGAGAGCAGCCCAAGAGGCCATCATCTCTGTGTTCTCTGTACCTGACACATGCCTAGGTGAGCAGAAAGTTAATACACCTTGGCTAAATGAAGTGAATAAATGGGTTAGAGTACAAGAGCCCAGAAAGCCTGTCCTTCTAAGAATAAAGATGGCAGCTCATTAAACAGTAGAAAAACATGGTGACCCAGCCAAAGGCAACAAGATACATGCTAGGGATTGATGATGCTATGCCAGTCAGGAAAGTGAATTAATTTGAACCAATGTCAGGCTATTGGGAACATAATTTGTATGCCTCTCTTTTTAGATTCTTCTAGATTCATACTTGAGTTCCCATGGGCTTTCCAAGGAGGTTGGATTCAGCCATGGAGACGGGGCTTAGCCTTAGCCAATCCCATAGTGGTCTCTGTCCACAGGATTCCTGGAGGGTAGATGGCACAGTTTCTTATGGGAGTTAGTACCTCTAGATGTCTTGGATATGTCCAGAATATATCTGAATGACCCCTGGTCTGCAAATAACACACTGGGTACAAGGATGACACAACCCTGCTGACCTTAAGTGATCTTAACCTGGTCAGGCTGCAGCATGTAACCCTTAGTATCTATGGGCAGTCAGATTGGATGGCTGGCAACACTTAGGGAATGTCCATGAGCCTGACACACATCATTTGCTTGAGTAATGTTCTTACCTAGCCCTTCAATCTTGACTCCCAGAAAAGGGGGCACCGCATGTCACACGTGGTACTAACAGGGCAGGTGGGTCAGGGTAATGAGCATCCCACTCACGCCAGCAGTTTCTAGCCAGGGTCTTGGCAGTGACCCGTGACTCACCTGAATCAGATGAGCTGCGCTTTCTGGGCTGCCATACCGAAGGTCGTGCCCATTGATGGCTAACACGCGATCGTTCTCCTCCAGCTGACCATGTCGGCCTGCCACACCACCATTCAACACATTGAAGATGAATACCCCAGGCTCATCCACCCTGCGCACCAGTTTTATTCCAAGCTGCTCCTCAGGGCTGCTTTTGTTGAGAATCACATGAAAATGATCGTCTCGGGGCCCATAGGCGTCGGGCGCCTGTCCGCTGTTCCTGCTTTGGAACTTCTGCTCACGCAGCACAGTGAGCCGCAGCACCTGGCATGGCTGCCGCAGGAGGCGCAGGGCATAGTTGTGAGGCACGTTGCTGATGTCCATCCCGTTGACCTGGCGGGGGTGGGCAGGGAGGGGACCGGAAGCTAGAGCAGATCAGCCAGCTCCACCTGCCACAGTCCTTCCTAGAAGCCCCAGGCCCACAGCATCAGCAGGACCCTTCCTTAAAGACTGCCCCGGTTTGTCACTTCTCCTCTGTCCAAATCTCCAGACACCCCCATCTTCCAACATTACTTCTAGCCCCGCTTTCCTTCTGTGTTACCACATCGCCTGTTCAGCTCTCCCGGTGGATGCCATCTCTCTTCAACCTGTCCCTGCACAGGCCCCTAGATTTATTCACAGGCCCAGCCCTCATTCCTGTTGCTTGCCAAACTCAGTGTTCAGCTGAAGGGGTGGGTGGGAGCAGGGGGGAGAAAAGAGGAAGAAAAAGTAGGAAAAAGCAAAACAAGAAAATTTCCCACTTAGGTTCAAATGATTACACTAAACTGCTGTTGAGATTAAACTGAACTGACACTTACTTTCCAGTGATCTCCAGGTGACTTCTTCTCCCTGGGTCATCCATCCTGGAACTTCCGTGGCCTGCCATTGCATGTATGTGTGCGTAGGTGTGTGTGTGTGTGTGCGTAGGTGTGTGTGTGTGTGTGTGTGTGTGTGGTCTTAAGGTGGTTGCTGCCTAGGAAGTCTTTTGTCTGTGTGTAGGTGTGTGTGTGTGTGTGTGTGTGTGTGTGTGTGTGTGTGGTCTTAAGGTGGTTGCTGCCTAGGAAGTCTTTTGCCCATGTTCTCAACAAAAGGAAAAAGAAAATCTCTGTATAGTTTCAAACAAACTGATGTGAATGAGTTTCTAGGTTCTCTTACTGAAAGGCTGCATCCCTTCATTCTACTTCAACATCCTCAAGCTCAGCCCTCTCATCTGTGCCTCATTCATTATTTGCGGGCCTGATGCTGCATGGGGCTTTCTGGTTTTCATTACTCTGACTAAGCAGGCCCAGCCAGAAGGCTACAGCCCCTAGTGGTAGTCATTGCTTTGCGAGAAAACAATTTTACGACAGCACCGTACTCTGCGGAGGGTCTTAAGGACAGGGGCCCCACAGAAGAGAGACAGCCTTCTTGAATTTCTATGGTTGGGTAGGATTTCTTGGTTAGAGGAGGCTCAGAGTGAAATTTTAAGAGGTCTTCCTGCAGCCCACCATCCCAGTTTTTCGCTGCCCCTTCAGGGATGGATGGAGGCTCTCGCGCACAGAGCAGCTCACCACCTTTGTCCACACCCAGGGGAGCTCACAACTCTTGCTCTGCTCGGTCACTGATCCTGCATCTGCTTTCCCCCATCGCACCCAGCCCAGGAGGCAGCCAGGGGATTCTGCTAGACGGTCTTGGCAGCCCTTTGCCTGCCAGGGCCACTTGAAGGTCCTAAGAATCAAGATGTCTTATTATGCAACCCTCCCGGGCAGGACAGCTCCTTTCCTTTGCAGGGAAGCCACGCAGAGTGTCACCCGACTGCACTGTGGACACGCTCCGGAGCTCGACAGGCCCTGCCTTGTCCTCCACCTCAGAGGCCAGTGGGAGTTTCAGGATTGTTATGACAACTGCTTTAAATTCTTTCTCCTCTTATTCCAAAAAAAGAAGAATTTCTTTGCCAGAGAAATAGCACATGATGTGTCAGGAACCGGCCCGTCAACCACCTAGAAGGAGTGGGATGAAACCCTCCTCTGGGTATCGGACAGGGAATATAGGACCAGGGAGGGATTTCTTGTCACACTTGCCACCTGTCTGACTTCTGTCTGATCAACAATGCTCCCTTCATCCTTTCTCTTCTTGTCAGAATTCTTCCTGAACGTCCTTCCTGACACTCAAGCCTCAGAGGACAGAAATGCCCACGGGGCGCTGTTCCACCAACATGTCTGCCCCGCAATGTCTGTGGCTTGGTGGGCATAGCTTAGGATTACTTCTTGGTTTTTCTCATGGAGGGCCATTAAGCCCCCAGACATTTACCATGGAGGGGTGTGTGAATGGGAGTGACTAGATAAAATACAGAATGTTCCATTAATCTGCTCTAAAAACAACATAAGATCTACGTTCCAGTTTTATTTTATGTTATCGTTAAAGTAATAGGAGGAGGTAGACGGAAGGAGAGACGAAGAGGAGAAGGAGGTGGAGAGAGGGAAGTGGGGACAGAAGCTGGAGGGGAGATGAGAAAGAAGAGGAGGACAGACAAAATGATACAGAGACAGAACTACTCTTTTACAGAAAGAAGGAGAGACTAGAAGAACAAGACAGAAGGGGACAAAGACCTATCTCAATTATATTACAGGTCTCAGATGAAGAGTCCTTTCAACATGATAACTACGGAAAGAGACCGCTTCACATTTATTTAGCATTTCCTCCATCCATCCATTTACTTCCTCTGAAGGGGTTTTTATTAAGCCCCTTTTCATGGCCCTGCAGCGACCGCGTCTACCTTCAGGATGATGTCTCCTGGCAGGAGCCGGCCATCCCTGGCAATCACCCCGTCCCGGTAAATGTGCTGGATAATGATATGGACCAGCGGGGTTTCGCTGCCTCCCACAAGCCTTATGGAGAGGCTTTCGTTGGGATCCACTCGATTGATCTTGACGCTTGTAATTTCACCATCTGGAATCAGGTGATACAACCTTGGAAAGACTAAAATGGACAAAGACAGTATTTATTTAAGACACCAACCCAACGGACATTTCCAACCACTCTTCTTCTTGCCAAACTTTGGTTTCAGCCAAACTAAACTATTCATCGTTCCTCGTACATGTTTTCCATTTTCCTGCCTCTGCGCCAGCATCAGTTTCTCTGCCTGGAATGTTTTTCATTTTAGGCCTAGACCCAATTTTTCCTTCAAGACTTGCATGAAATGATCCCTTTCAATTAAACTCTACCCTGATCCCGCTGTTTCCCTGCTCTGTCTAAACATCCCAATTCCCCCCACAGCTAGCTCCCGGCACTGAGGCTTCCGTTATCATCCATGCTCATTTCTTACATCCTCTCCTGGACTCTAAGATCTTTGAGGACACATTTCTTGCTGTTCTGTGGCTGTGTGCACAGATCACAAGTGTCAGCCAAAGCCTCCTGGGGTGAAGGAGTGAAGGAGAACGTAGGGTCATTATGGAATAGACTTTAGTTTCAGCACCTACTTATCGAGCCACAAAACAGAACAAACCTGCTCTTCTGCCTTCTCAGGCCATTTTGAAGCTTTCTCCCTGGAAGTCCCTGCTTTTTCAGGCTTAGGGAATTCCCAGGCCTCTCTCCCAGACACTGGTGTCAATAAAGGGAAGTCACACAGCCTGATTCGTGACTAAGGAGAGCTGGTGGTGTCCAGAGGCTCATCCCTGATCTGGCTGCATTGCTCAATTCAGAGCTCACAGGAGATCCGGAGACCTAGGTGGGTGCCTCCAACTTTATCTTTTAACTGAAGACTCTTCTTTCCACATGAAATCTTCCACGGGTCCCTTCCCCACCAGCCCGTACCCCGCCCCTGTGCCCACACACAGAAGAGCTTCCTTAGTAGTCCGGTTTGATAGCGACAGACAGTTGAATGGCTTTATTTTACAACGTGAGGACATTTGAGCGTAGAGTGGGGAAGTGACAGGACTGGCTAGAGGTTGCAAAGGAAGGTGGCCCTCAGGGCCAGTCACCGCCTGGGGCTCCAGGTGACCTGCCATCCTGTCACCTCCCTCAGGTTTTTGTGGAACCAGGGATCCACAACAGTCCCACAGGGGACTTGCCCTATAGACCTATAAGCCAGCACTGCTGACTGGAGCCGTCCTCTGCCTCAGTCTGAGTAGAAGCATGCCAAAGGGACGCCATGACATGCCAGGCAAGCTACACCTAGTTTGGGGCAGCCGCAGCTCCTCCCCTCGCCACTTGAGTGTGGATGTGGAGGGTGGAGATGCTTTCGCCTCCTGTAGCTGCTGACAGCTGCCTTTGCCCTAAGATTCTCTCTTCATTAAGTCATTTGGGAAGAGGAAAACTGCAGGTCCGGCTCTGCCTAATATGCACTCTGTTTTCAAAACCTTTGACCTTAGTCCATTTTCCCTAATGAACTATGAGTTCATTAAGAAGTGCTCAACTCTCCAGGAACAATACAGAAAGAATTAAAATTACTTCCTAGTATTGCAGAACACGATAAACAAAGCAATTTAGCAGCCAGAGGAAGCCTGAGACGTTGCAAATGTGGGTCCTTCACCTCCACCGGGATGTAACTGAACGTAAGGGATTGGCTTGGCTGTTTGGCTGTGGATGGCAGCCTTAATGTGTCAGTTCCCGGGGCTAACAGTGCTTGGGTGATAGAGTTCAATTAATGTTTAAACTACTTTGATTACATTAAGTAGGCGTTACCATAAGCGTTTGTTGAAACAGGTCTGGTGACAGGGAATGGTGATTTAAAAAAAAAACAAACACTTTGAACAAAGAAAGATTTAGAAATAATCATCAAACTGCTGGTTTTTGTTCCCCTCCCCCTGTCGACCCCCCCCAGTAGATTTACAAAAACCATCCTCCCAAACTGAAACTACTCAGGCCATTTGAGAGTCTAAAGGACACACGCAGTTGCACTTGTACATAATATTAATTAGAACCACGCCAATGAGACTCTAGTGACATTGAAGAGTTAAAATAATTTTTTGGAGTGCTTCGGTGGCTCTACCAGTTGAGCATCCCACTCTTGATTTTGGCTGAGGTTGTGATCTCAGTGATGTGGGATGGAGCCCCACGCTGGGCTCTGTGCTCACCAGGGAGTCTGCTTGGGATTCTCTCTTGTCCTCTCCCTTTCACCCCAGCACACACACACAATCTCAAATAAATAAATCTAAAAAAAAATTTTCAACTGCCAAACTTGTGCTGGTCTGGAATGAAATAAAATTGTTCAATATTGTGTCCTCACCGAAGGACTAGGGATTTGATGTTATTTACTGAGTGTTATGTGCCAGGCATTGAGCTAGCCAGTTGTATGCATGCTTTTTGGATTTAGTACTTACAACAACCCTATGAAGTAGATTATTATTATCTCAGCTTCTTAGAGGACAGAATGCTGGAGCTCAGAGAAGTTAAGTAACCTGGCCAGGGTCACACAGCCAATAAGCAGTGGAGACTCTTTGCCCCTGTAAAAAGGATGGATAAACTATGCCACGGGAGTTCATGGGGCCAACCACAGGTTGCTGAAACAATGCAACTCAAAGGCCATTTTTGAAAACTTTGTTGCCTCACAAATCCTGAAAAGACCATCATACCAGCCTTGCCAAGTCTTAACACCTCACCCCATTCTGGAGTCATAGCTTCCTGGGGTGTCTCAAGAAATCCATTCTCTCCCACTTTAAGCCCCCTGCACACCTCACGTGGCGGCCATCTTCCCGGAACATAGTGCGGTTCCTGCAATAACACTCTGCAAAAGCTTTCCGGTGTGTTCACTGCCCCAAATCAAGACTCCCAAATGCCCTCCAGGACCCATCTCTTCTCCCACTACTTTCTAACGCACAGTCAAGATCCCAATGCCCATCCGGCTCATCAACCGCCCCGTAGACACAGGTTACACAGCCTGCTTGCAAGTGATGCTTCTTTCTCTTGGGCTGCCGCTGCCATTTATTTATAGCTCACTCTTCATGGTATTTTCTTTCTTTTAGTCATGAAGGAGGCTCTTGAAGCCAGGAACTGGATTTGATAATCTTTATATAAAGTTATAGAGCCTAGGCTAGTACCTTCCACACAGTAATCTCTTATTAAAAAGGTTTCTGCAATAAACAGGCAAATAAATCTTATGCAGGCAGCAGAAAACTTTACGTGGAGGAGGATTCAGGACCCTTTCATAAGAGGAAGACTGGCAGACAGGGAGTCGTAATCCCATATTCATGGCACAGTCAGCGAACACCACTGTGTGGACAGGGTGCTTCACCTCGAGGACACGCACACGAACAAAAGGACTCCTGCTCTAAACACACTGAGGGTTGCTGGAGTGGGGGGGGTTGGGAGGGATGGGGTGGCTGGGTGATAGACATTGGGGAGGGTACGTGCTCTGATAAGCGCTGTGAATTGTGCAAGACTGTT